TTCTTAGTTATTAAAGGGTGAAAACTAAAAATATTAAAAGGTTAAATTTTAATTATTTTATTGTATTAATAAATTTTAATTATTTATTTATATATTCCAAGAAGAATTCTCAGCCACATAACTCAATTATAAATGAGTGGTAAATGAGAAAGGTACTATTCTTTAGTTGACTTATTTAACCAAAATTCTTCCTTCTTCAATCATATATCAAAACTCTTCGTTCTTCAATCATATATCAAAACTCTTCGTTCTTCAATCATATATGAAAACTATATTTCAGTGAAAAAAGGAAAGCTGCATTTACATGAGCAAATATTCAATGGCAAACAAATCAACTGGAGCTTACGGAAACCCTCAACCGTCTGCATTTTCTACCGATACGGTATCTTTAAGTTTCATYTATTCTTGTTAAATTATATGGTATAACTAGTAGTTGTAACTTAAAAAAAGTCWATTTCAGGTATTTAATTCTCGTCAAGATCTAATTGATTGGGTACGCAATGTGGCATTTTCACTTGGTTTTGTTATTGTTATCAAAAGAAGCAAAAGTGACTCATGTGGGTATCCATCTAAAGTTGTATTGCAATGTGATTGTGGAGGTATACACAAAGGTAACAAAACCTCCGGTAAGCATACTGTGACAAAAAAAAAACAAATTGCCCATTTTGCTTGGTAGGAAAGCATTTGGGTAATGATTGTTGGACGTTAACTGCAAAATGTGAAGCACATAACCATGACTTTGCATTACATCTGGAGGGTCATGCATATGCAAGACGACTATCTGAAACTCAAGCTAGATTGGTGGAAGATTTGTCGGCCAACAATGTGAAACCTAGAAGTATTTTATCAACAATCAAACAGCAGTATCCAGATAATGTGTCTACAAAAAAGACGATATACAATCAATGCCAGAAACTTCGACTTAAGAAGAATGCAGGTAGAACTCCAATGCAAGTTGTGATGTCATTTTTACAAGATGAAGGCTACGTATATTATGATCGGGAAAATAACTCGACCAATGAATTAGAAGATTTATTCTTTGCTCATCCTAGATCATTGGAGATATGGCGCGCATTTCCACACGTGTTGTTGATGGATGCCACCTATAAAACGAACAGGTTTGAGATGTCTCTCCTTGAAATTGTTGGTGTAACTTCAACTAATAAGACATTTTGTGTAGCATTTGTCTTTATGCACAAGGAAAAGATATCCAATTATACTTGGGCATTAAATTGTCTACAATCGTTAATGGAAGGATGTCTTTATCCACGTGTGATCGTCACAGATAGAGAGTTGGCACTGATGAAAGCATGTAATATTGTTTTTCCCGGTGCTAAAAGATTACTTTGTAGATAAAGAGTTGGCACTGATGAAAGCATGCAATATCGAGCTTGAGTTTCATATAGTCGTCTTGCATATGCATGACCCTCCAGATGTAATGCAAAGTCATGGTTATGTGCTTCACATTTTGCAGTTAACGTCCAACAATCATTACCCAAATGCTTTCCTACCAAGCAAAATGGGCAATTTGTTTTTTTTTGTC